TTAGTCATGGATATTTAATGTAAAGTCCACCTAAAACTTCAGAGCTTGCTTCAGAATTCCTCCTCTCATTGTCTTTAATTTCCTCCGCCCCCTTTCTGCTACTCCCGCGACCGTTGCTACTGCCACTTCCACTTTGCTGCAACTCTAACGACGGCGGGGGCACGTCTGTGTGTTCTTGGCTCACCTGATTTTCAGGCATCAATTGAGACATCTTCTTTAGTTCCTTCCCTTTTCCCCACAATACTGTGTACAGCCCCATTATAATCACAATACCTCCTACCACCCTGCCATCATTTTCAACAACAATAATCATTGATAATTATCAATCAACAAATTACTAGACTTTCGAAATCATCACTAAATTCGACAGAGTATCTTCAATTTTTTCACACATTTATTTGTCGTTTTGAGAAACAACACACTAATTAAGCATTTTTTTTCTTGCCAATATTAATCCTATTTAATAGATGTTATGGGAAACGATAGAAATGGGATATGAAGAGACACACTGTGTATTAAATGGAGGGTTAAAAATAGAAAAATATGAACAAAATAGCCAAAACGATATTTATTATTTAATCAATGATCAATTAAGCTAGAGTGACAAATAATAAAAATTGGAGGGAGTAAGTTTATCTTTGATTGGTGTCAATGCGTGTTGTTAATTGCTATGAATTATGGAGGATAGATAAAAAGGAATTATTTATACATACATTCCCAAATGCAGCTTCTCCTCCAAAAGCAAAGATCCTGCAATGGCCACCAACACAAGAAGCAGAGGGTTAAATATCGAGACAAAGAGCGGCCCTCTCATCCTCACGCACCACGCCACAAACGTAAACATAACTCCAGAACCCAATACGCCCTGTTCGAAAAATCCATCCATAAAAAATAATAATAATAATAATAATAATAATAATAATAATAATAATACAAGTTAATAGACCATGTTATTTATTAGAATATCAACATTCTTGTGAAATGTAGCATTAAGTTAGGACCTACAGCAAAAGCCACTGTAAGAAGCCTGATATTCCAACCCAAAGCCCAATTGCTCCAATCCTTCTCAGTACACGCGGCAAATCCAATGCTTTGAATTGTTCCCCATACGGTCATCATAGCCGTTATTGAGTACGGGCATGGATATTTCTCGGAGGCCTTAGCCTGAGAAAAGAAAAAAAATAAATAAAAAAATGATATAACTTTGGAAATATAGTGCAAGACATTGGAGTAAGTGTTTTTCCTTTCTTTGTTTTTATGTATTTAATTATTTCTACAAGGGTACCTGGACAATCAACCATAATGAGTAACATACACAACTGGCCAAGGCCAAAACGGCACCCAGAGCAAGATTATGGCCACCCGGTTGACTCGGTGTTTGCCCGCCTGTTTGGCGATGATGAGTTGTGGTTGTTTCTAGAAGGTTTATGTTGGTGTCCCAAAGGTTTAACTCGGGCCCTTTGTAGAATGTGAGGAGCATTGCTCCACCTATACCCATTATTGTGCCAACAACTTTGGCTTTACCTGCGGATGAGTTCCAGCCCAGTCTTTCTAATCTGAAAATAAATAGATAAATGTTTATGTATGTGTACTGTGAAAATAGGTGGAGTATTTAGTGAATTGTGGCTTTCATTACCTCAATGAAATGGCTACCAAGAATGTGATGGCTGGAATAAGATTGGTCATGGCAGAGGCAAAAGTTGCAGAGGTCAATGCAAGGCTTTTCAAGTATAGATTTTGCCCAAGTGATCCCCTGAAAATTAGTCCACCAACAAATTTATTGTCACTTTTGAAATGAATAAAGTAGTCATGAAATTTAATTGGAGGCGAATGTTTTTTCATTTTTTCTTTTATTCAGTCAAAATTTGTGGCATTGAAACTTAAAATGAAAAGAAGAAAACACAC